CACAGCATCCCAGTGATTTTACCTTGTTTTGCGCCACTTCCGCAGTCTCTTCAACGTGCAGCTTAGTTGCGCGCAGTCATTGTATGTGTCAGTGTTCGGTGCCTGTGATATTAGTCTTGGCCCTCTGGCGTTTCTCCCCGTGCGCGCAATTGCTCCCTTCTATACTCTGTTCTCTGTGTGCCTAATCTTCCTTCTAGATTGCGTAGGGCCTCCATGCTTGGCTTTAGCTGCTTTTCTTGCCGAGGCGTAGGTCATTTGGGCTGTCATGAGGAATTTTTGTCGCTTCAGTTATGTGTGCACGCTTGCGCAGTGAGGAGGTTTGGGAGAACATAAAGGAAGCCATAGAAAACTCCGCTTCTGACTCAAGGCAGTCTGCTCTCATCGCCACCGCTTTGCTTCTGCTTACTTACTTCACCATTCTCTAGGCATCGTCATGAAGGCAGACCCCTTGAGATATTCCCCTGATGCTAAGGGTATCTTGGTGGAACGGCAGCGTCCTCAGTATAACGCTTGCTCTCTAGTCTTAGTCAAGGACAGAAGCGAGCTGCAATGCAGGTAGACATAAAGCAAGGTTTTCCCAAAAGTAGCTGACCTTCTTCCCCTGTCCTCAGGCCTCCTGGGCGTTGGGGTCAGGGCCTGGGTGTTGCGGGGAGGAGGCATCCAGAAACGGGTTGGCAGCGCACCTCGGTGGGGCTAGGCTCACGCGTGCACACGAGGAAGCTTCGTTGAAGCTTCCTTTACAGTCCTTTACTGGAGGCTTTGCCCCTGAATACGTTTATGGAGTATTTATATTTGATTGCACTCAACCTACTAAGGCCAAGTGGAGGCTCCTGTGCTAACTGCAGACAGATCATGCTACTACACTCAGTCTCTGCAAGACAGAAGATAGGATAAGCATCGTTGAACCCCGAAGAACTGCACGCCCAGAAGAGACAGTGTATTGTATCTGAACAGTCTCTCTGAAGCGTAGGGATCGTGTATCTCAGCAATGGCTCCGAAGAATGTTGCTCATAACCCCTATTTTCTTTGCAAGCTGGAGGGAAGCTTGCAGGTCGAGTACACATAAAAAGCAATTGGACCGCCGTCAATCCTCATTGATCCTCATTGGAATTTGTTTCACTTGCGATAGGATAAAAAGCGCCCATCTTCACTGAAGTAAAATGAATTTCTGTTTTCGTCGCTGAAAGGCCGCATGCCTCGAACAAACATATAGCGTTTTCTCGCGTTCCTCGCTCCGGTGGCTCTGGGCACGCGCCTAATCGAGCCCCCCGGCCAGCTAGGAGACCAGAGTCTTTGTGCTGCAGCTAAAAACCAGAATGGGCCACAATTCCATAGTACATTTCAGTCTTGTAGTTCTTCTGTTAAATCCCTGTCTAACACCATGAGAAGCTTCAGTTCGGTTCTGCTGGCCGTCGCCGCGCTGGGGGCCGTCAGCGGAGAGAAGGCCGACGGCGAAAGTCAAAAAGGTTCTGCAGGTAGGTTGAAACATCAGGGGAGAAAAGATGTCTTGTTTTGGTCGAAATGAAAAAATTTCAATGATCCTTAACGGCGCTGCGGTGGTTTTGGTTGTGGGCAGTGACCGCCGACTGCCTGACCGAGTTCAACACCGCCAGAGAACGAGCAGA